TCAATAGTTCAACCGCGTATGGGGATAACGATCTTTGTTTCTTTGGAGGAAGTTTTCGCAAACTGGATATTAATGGATCTGACATTACTCAAAGTCTGCAAAAAATGTCTTCCATGTTTTCGATGCGGTCACATTTTCGTGAAAAATCTTCTCGGAATCTTTTAATATACTTGTTACATGATTCCTGAAGGATATAATTTTCCAAAAGCGCATATTATGGAATAACCGTTTTAAGATGTTTCTACATCAAGCATTACAGTATAAGGTGTTGTAAAACGTTGTAAATAAAATAAGCATTATAGGCGTTATCAAATTTACATAAAATCAAAACATATTACATCGCAGATGTTTGGATAAAATTCGATAACTTATATGTATTATTCTTTATTCGTACAATAATGTATCAATTCTACAGTAATTTTTATCTATATACTTAATTCGGGGCTTAATTAATATCTTCAAGAAAGTGAGTTTTTAAAAAATTCTCAAACTTTTTTCGTAGTATTGGGAATTCAAAAAATTATTGCAACCATTATATTTTCTTCCTATAATTGCGAAATATTTGCATGAACAATTTCTTTCGTAATATCTACTTTCGAAAATATTTATCTCAAAAATCCATTTTGTAAAGTATTTTTGTTATTCACAACTAATCTCTTTTTAAATAATCATTACTTTTACAGATAGAATACAAATCTTTCTGATAAAATATATACTGTTTCGTATGCTCTTTTAATTTTAGTTCTCTTTGTGAATTATACGAGCTACAACGAATTAAGTACACGAGGTTTATTTTTAAAGATAATGTTACACATTCGGTTATTCAAATAACCAAGATCTGTTGAATAAAAATTTGTATTTGTCAAGAGGCATTCAATCAAGAATAGCAAATGGTTTTCCTCATCTCTATTATTTGTGCACAGTTTTATCCAAATATACTGTTAGCATTGATTGAAACGTATGCTTATAATAATATTTTCATTAACATTTATTTTCTTAAAATGTCATTTTAATGTGTCTTCTAAATTTTTTACAGATAATATCTGCGGACGACCTGATAAACGAAATTTATATTCCCTATTTGTGCCATACTCTTGTCGACTCCCGTTCTATAAAAGCTTTATTATCTCATTTGAGCAAAATAATTCGAGAACGGTTTTGCACACACGAAACTAAAATAATATTACTAATAATTATATTGATTAAGACGGCATCTCTGTTAAGACACAACAAATCGTTTTCGAAAGCCGATGTGTACGATGCAATAAGCGAGATAGATATAATAATATTCTATTTACGCACATTGCCTGTGTTCTCAGACGGGGTCCAGACAATGGCAGCCTACGAAGTTGCCGTAGACCCGCTTGAGCTGTATCAATTATCGCCTAGGATTAACGTGATGGGAATAATCAAGGCATTCGAGGATCGTTGCTTCGCTGTATATCGACGATTACGCACGGATCCGCAATGCCATCCAAAATTGCACGATTACGTGCGATCTTTCGATCTCAACCGAGAGGATTTTATACGTTACATGATATTGCATTGCTTCCAACCGGAATATGAGTACTATGCGTACGAACTGACGCTGATATTCTTCTACCACTTTGGTTGGGAGAACAAGATGATGGCATACGAAAACGTAATACGCATCACCGCCGAGGCATTGCAGATTGCTCTGTTATACGAGGACCATTTTCCCAAGCATACGTTCACTACGTCTCTATACGCCGTCGTGCAGTTCTGCAAGATCTTCGAAAGTAACATGCTCGAAAATTATAAGGCGATTCGCCATATCCTGCTAAAGACGCTGTCCTCTATAAAACTTACGGTTAACAGGACGTACTACCGCAACGCCTACGATCTTTTCCTCAATTCTATTCGAGTTTTGGATCCGCACATGTTGAGAACGACGTACTACTCAAAGATCTACGACTATGTTTTCGTGTACATTTATACTGTACACCCTAAGACATGTGTGGCCCAACAAAACGACTGGTAAGTAAAGGAGAGTATTTTCTTTCAAATCTAATTGTTAATTATAAAAATCTTTTATAATCTTCTCCTTTTCTTCTCCATTTTATATTCCTTTATTCTACTTGACTTCCGTGTATATTTCTCAATTCAACTAGGATAGATAACACGACATTTTATGAAAAAAGAATACTTTTAAGTATTCTAAAATAATTTCTGAATAGTTTTAGTCGGATTTACGAAGAGGCGTAATTTTCTTCCTATCTATTTCTATCATTTTTATCTTTATTGTTTAATTTGCAACTTTCAGGGTCGAAATAATTTAGCAACTCTAAGAAAATTTCATTAAATTATTTAAAACCATTACAGTACTGTTTAGAATATTTGATAGAGATTGTTGTATTTGCAGTTTTATGAGAATATTAAAAAGTATATTTTTTGTTAGCGTGTAATATTACAATGTAGAATAATATGTTACATAAATGTTAAACATGGAATAATCCATATTTAAAAAAATATATATAAATATATACATATGTGGAGGAGGGGGCAAAATTCGAAAAATATACAGTCATAATTATAAAGTTAAAGCAACAGAATATTGACAACCTAGAAATATAATAGAAAAAAATATCTAAGAGAACAGGAGAGAATTTTACTTGTTTAATTGATTGTTGCGTAATATATACAATGTTATCGAAAATAAAACATGTTATAGCTAAATGAAAGAAAATAAACGTGTGTATTTCAGCATTTGTTGTAAAAGTATGTACTGCAAGTATCATGATTCGCTTATTCAGAAGAAACTTGCTGCAAGACAAAAATTGATGTACAACGCATATTTGTTCATACGCGAATGCTTGAAGATAAGCATCCCAGTGATATACAATTCTTTCGACCGACTACAGCAAAAGTTATGCCAGACAGATTAGATTTAAAAAACATGTGAAGGAAGTATCTACATATCTATTTTCCGTAATTTTATATGAAACAGGACGGCACTATCTTTTTCTCAACGATACTGTCTGCTTTGATCAAAATATATCTTGTTTTAATCTGTACTAATGTAGATATTCTGTGAAGTGTTTTATAACAATGATTTTCTGCATTTGAAATCAAAAGGAACTGATGCTTTCTTAGTTTCCTATTAATAACTACATTTTAGTCCGATTATTTTGTATATAAGTTATTTGAGAAATTACATATTATTGAGCAAGCGTATTAAAAATTCTATAAAATGTTTTACGTAACAATAAAAAATACAAGATAATTTTTTGTGTACTATTAGTTATTAATACTATTAATAGACAATACGTATAGTATCAATTGTATTAGTAGACTTAATATTTATAAATTTTATACTCATTTATACATTTTACTAAAATAATGACTACATCGTCTGTTTCTAATAATACACAGAAATATTTTTCTGTTTTTTAAAAATGATTTTTGCAAAACTTTTGAAATATTTTGATCATCTTCGCGAGCCCCTGATGGTCGATACATAGTCCGTCTTCCATTTCAGAGCGAACCTCCACTCAAAATCGGGCTATCCAGAGCGATCGCTGTACAGCGATTACGCTCGCTCAATCAAAGACTCAAGTCCTGCCAGGAGATTCAAGCGGAGTACTCCGCGTTTCTTGCCGAGTATGAAAGCCTGAAGCATATGGACCGAGTCGAAACCCCGTCGCTCGAAACCTCACAAATCATATACATACCTCATCATCCGGTAATTCGAGAGACAAGTGCCACTACTCGCTTACGCGTAGTTTTCAACGCTTCGAGCTCCACTACCAACGGTACGTCCTTGAACTCGCATCTCCATGCAGACCCGAAACTCCAAACCGAGCTGCCAAGCATTCTCATTCGATGGCAGAATGAACGCGAGAGTTTTAAATGCCGGGTTGAGTTTACCACGCGGTGAGATCGTGATAGATGCGGCATGCCGGCAGACGCCGGCTTGCTCGCCGCCGATGGCCGAAATGGTGGTGCGAGTGCGGAGACGGGGGACTCGGAGTAATTGAGCGAGCTTCTCGCTCATGAATGTCACCTCGGATCCTTGATCGAGCAGGGCTCTGACGGATTCGGTGCGACGGTTTCGCGACGTGACTGTTACTTCCGCTGTCGCAAGTAACACTGGAGTGGGCGCGGGAGCGGTTATCGTAGATGCCAGCGCGGTGACATCCGAGGCGACGGACGAATCCGGGCGAATGGTTGTCGCATCGGATCGATCCGGCGCCGGGATCGCGTTTGAGGAAGAGACCGAGTCTAAATGCAAGAGAGTATGGTGTTTTTGTTGGCAGGTTCGGCATGTATATTTGCTTGAACACTCATTTACGGCGTGTTTCGAGCTCAGACAATTATAGCATCGGCTCGTCTGCTTCACGGTCTCGCGGCGCTGACTCGGGCTCTTGCTCAAGAACTTAGCGCATTTGCTCAGATAATGAGCCCCTTTTATGTGCACGATTGTGCGACGACCGGCAATCGCGGATCGCGCGGGTCGGCTCAACTCGCGCACCAACGTATTTTATTTGGCGCCGACACAAGTTCCGACTGGAACTCCGGGAGATGTGAGGGGCGGAGAGAATGAATTAACTTGCAAGTAGTCTGTTGTTCAACTGTTAACACTTACGGACATTTATTCAATTAACAAAAGACGACAGCACCAGGTCTGCTGTGCCGAGCGAACAGCGGACGGTTCACTGGCAAAAGATCACCTTGCGGCAAGGTGATCTAATATATTGATTTGAGTCGCGACAAAGGCAAGGCGATGTAACGGTTGGTGTTCAACGTTAACGAATTCCCCGACGTTGAAGTTCTCGAGGTCGCGAGAGACTAACGGCGGCGCACTTGAAATGTGCACGGAGTGAAATCCCGCGACTCGATGCACTCATATACTTCGAGAAGGGAGCTCCGAAGCACTCTGCCCGGGATGTCCGAATCTCGAACCGTCGTTCACGGCGTATCCGTCCAGTGCGGGCGAGATTGCGGGACTTAGTTTCGAGGAGACAGAGCTTCGGTGCAGTCCACGTTCCGGAGAGGGTGATTGGAGAGTCACCAGGTAGGCGATCGTGCCGACTGAATTTTCTCTCGCGGAGAGTGAGAAGCTTCTGCGTGACTGATTTTGCGATGATACTAAAGGCTGTCGTTTCCAGAGCGATCGAATGTCGACTGACTCTCCGTTTTCACCGTCTCCGGCGTGACCCGGTATCGGACGTGTTTTTGGAGTCGACCGATGACAAAAATATTATTGAGTGTCGCTAGCGCGACGCAAGTCATCGGTCGACTCCTACTCGGTGCCGGCGATGGTTTTCGCGCGAGGCTCGATCAGCTGGCTCGACCGGGGTCATCGATCCGCGTTGCTCGCGACGCTTTTGCCTGAGCGCGCCGCGATTTCGAACGCTACATCGAATCCGAAACAGCGAACTATCCGTAATTATTTTGTGTATTAAATATCTATTGTTTCATAATAAACTTCCGTGGTACACAGTGAGTACAGGTACACATGGACCAAACATTGATTAAACTATTGGTCTAGTAGTTGTTTAGCCAACACACTGTGCTCTACGGGGTTTACTATTAAATACAGCGCTGTAAAAATCTAATGTCTTGCAAGAGCAGAAAAATATTGAAGAGACTTCATCTGCTTCATGAAAAATATTGTAATTGTATTTGTGCATTTTATAACAATGTCGTGAGTCTTAGTTTACGATTTTTCCAATAAATGGACGACAAATATTGTAACCCCAACAAATATAATTTTGTATTTTGTCCTCACGTAAACCAAATTGTGATAATGATTGTAATAAAATTAATTATCCGATTTCCTACTAAAAGTTTTATATCTTCACGATAGAAATATCATGCTTGTTCGCGACTCTCTTTGGGAGAGCTCGCTGGACCGCTGCGGTTGGAAGCAGGGCTGAGAGGACTCAGCGGTGAGAGGCTCGAGGAACGGATGCACGCGTGAGAGGTTAGAAATCACGTGATCGTAACTCGAATCGATTGTGTAAAATACCGTGGTCCGTTTAATAAATGTAAAAGCTTACAGTTTGAGCAGTCTAGGGTTAATGGGGATGATCAGTCTCTTTGTCACTTGCACGGGTCGATTATATTAATCGATGACCGGCCTCGTGATTGTAGATGCCC